TCCACAGCATACTTGCACCGGATGAATGTCCTGTCCACACCTATTCGCTCGGACCTCCACATTCGCTTTATCTTATCCCATACCGTATTGTTTCCCACGTATAGGTAGTGCGTTTTACCCGCTTCCGAGGCATCCCTCAGTGCCGTACAGATTTGTTCTTCGCTGACCCCGGGTTGCGACCAAATGACGCGGATCCTACTTCTCCCGTACCTTCTGAAATTGATTTTCATGATTCCGGCTGTTCGTGTCTTCCAAATCACCTGACGGTGTTTGTCGTTCACGATCTCCTCTATTTCTTCCATCTCCGCTGCCCTTTCTTCCGCTGAGCTCTCCTCTTCTGGGGACTCTCCCCTGTCCTCAATACCTGCGGTATCATTTGCCCCTTCGCCATCGGGAGTCCATTCCCTCAAGAATTGACGCACGTCCTGCGATGGTCCTCCCCTGTCCTCTTCAACCGCGTTGATCATGATGGCCCTCGAGAGCCAGTCTGCCACCACGTTTTCCTTTCCCGGCTTATACACCACCTCTATGTTGTATTGGCTCAGGATCTCCTTCCATCTCGTGACCCTAGCTGAGGTTTCCTTGAGTTTTCCTACCCACTGAAGGGGTTTGTGGTCGGTATGGACTCGAAATTTTCTCCCGAATACGTATGGCCTGCAATGGCCCTCCGTAAGTCCTGCGTGGTTGTTGCTCTTATTTTCATCCATTCCAAGGCATTGGCGTGTGCTTCTGCCAACGTGTCCCTTGGTAATGGAGGGATCTCCTGGATCTGAGGTATCTGTGCTACCTGAGGGACTTGAGGTATCTGAGGTACCTGAGGCGCGATCTGGGGTACCTGGTTGATCTGTGGAATATCCTGAGGTTGAGGAATTTCCGGTAAGCTTAGTACTCCCGGTCTAATCAAACCTTCTGTCGGCATCTCGCCTTTTCCTTAAACACCAAACAAAAAAAAAAATATCTACTTAAAAAAAATTACTTCCCTGACGTTGTCCCGGGTTTCGGCACCAGTTAAGCGTCGTCGGACTTAAGAAATAAAAAAAAAGAAGGAAAAGGGAAGAGATGTAACATACACGACTTCTGAATAAACACTGCTTTATTCGTTCCATAAGCCTCCTTATATACACTTAGCCTGTTTATTTACATTACCAGATAGTATTAAGGCTGATACCGCCAGTCTCCGGTCTTTATCTTATATATATATATATATATATATATATATATATATATATATATATATATACACATATACATATATAAAATAATATATATATATATATATATATATATATATATATATATATATATACACATATGTGTATAATATAATAAGGGTCTTAAATGACATTGTAGTTTTTTTGCGTATGGGCGTATTTTAAAACACACTAACAAAGTGATTGAACATTTGACATATTTTTATTAGAAGGTTTGAAGCAGTGAGATGAAGTCTCAATTCTCCGATGTTTCAAATTTTTTACTGGAAATGTGATAAAAAAAAATACAATAATGGAATGGTGGACATGAAAAAATCATAAAATCCTAGGATATGTTGCTACGTTTAATCTTCTATGAGTATAAACTAAAATTTCTATATTACTGACATAGACTACAGTTAACTGCTTGCGTCCGTATTATAGCCCTTCGATCAGCCATCTAATTGACTACTCCTTTCTTAATTGATTTCAAATCATATATTTTGTTTATTCATGTCGATTAATTAGAATTGATTTTATTTTATTTTTCGAAATATTTGGGGGGACAATACGATACCCTCGCCCCCTCTCTATTTTTATTAATGGGGGACGATCTTCCTCCTTTACCCCCTCCTCCCCCCCAAAATCTAGTGTGACCTTCCAGTACCTTGAATAAAACCAGTCGGTTTAAAATAAATTTTCTGCCAGTATTCTTCACATTATTGTTGATCTTACATAATTACTCATTTGTTATGCCTAAGACGATTAATAGCACTTCAATTTTTTATTTTATTTTATTTACTTACTTATTTAATTATTACAGTATGTTTTTCAACTATTACAAATATATTTTTTATAGCGCTACACATAAGACATTACGCGATCTGAATATTAGCAGAAGCAGATATTTCCTCACACAAGTGAGCGAATGTAATAATTCAAGATGGTACAACTTATTAATTTAAAACAATTAACTGTTATGTATTTCCCCACCCATCTTAGTTGTGAAGTTTGTTTGTTTCTCGTCCCTGACCATTTCCTTTTTTTTATTTTTTTTTTATTGGCTAATATAACATTCTGTCACATGTACAATGGTTACATCAAGATAAGACTACATTCTCATATTATGTACAGAAAATATAAAATAAACAGAGTGACGACCAAATAATCCAAAATTATATACAATAAATAGGCACAAAATAACTTAAAGATAATTAAACTAAATAATAAACACGGACATGCCTATGTATACTATTTACAATCAGGTGAGGAAATTCAAAACCAGGCTTGTTCCTTCAAATATAAAGGGAAAGGTGAGACTTCGGGAGATCCTTGAGCTTCTCTCTCAACTGCATCATTGATAATTATCTTTTAAAGCTTTATTTTTTAGAAACATAAATATATTTTATTTACTTCAACTTCCAAACGGTGTATTATACATCCATAGTGATATTTTATTTCCTGTTTTGTTTTCTCCCTGGGATATTGTCATCTTCTTTTATTCTACAGAATTCTTTTGTAGTTATATTTATTCATTTTTTTACTATTCCAACACTGGGACTGTATTTTTATTTTAAACAAACAAAATTATAACTAAAAAATTATGATTTTAAAAATCTAATTAACCAAGTTCGTTCCGCGATTTAACCAAATTTATTTTTTAAAACTTTATTTTGGAAAGCACCTAAACTCTCTCAAAAAAAAAAAAATAATAACAAAGAAATAATTTACCGTTTTCCATCATTATTTTATTAATTTAAGATTTCTGTCAAATGTGAGCGTGATTCGTAATATTTAAAAACTGAACAATTGTTAATTAATGATTTTGTTTGCGAAAATTATCATTTAAAATGGCAATTTCATAATATCTACTGTCGATAAAAAACAATTAGCAAGTGTTGTTTATAATAAACTTTAATGAGTTATTTATGCTTGTATTTAATTAAAATTTAGTTAAAAAGGTTGTAAACAGGTAGCGAACGTGCAGAGTGTCCACTTGACTTTGTCTTAGAGTTATATTTTAATTGGCTTTTGTACCGTTTTATTATTTGAGATAGCAGACTATTCTCAGATTGTTTGAGTTCGGGTCAAAATGACCTATCTTTTGAAGTGATTGTGATTTTCCATTGCCTCTGTTATAATTAATAGCTAGAAATTGAAAAAATAAAAATTTTCTTTCTTTTCTTCGAAGAATTCTATTGAAGTGTGTATTTATGTACCTCTGCGAAATTTCGGAAAAGGAAGTTGTGTGAAAAAAATAATAAGTAACCCATTTTAATTAAAAAAGAGTAAATTACGAATTAATTTTCAATCATGTATATTTTTTATGGACCATACTCTTTCATCATAGTTTTATTTTATTTTTATATCAAATTATATTTTTATCTCTTACATACTTTGAAATTTTTTAAAATATTGTTCTCATTCTAGATGCAGCTAAATTGGATCAACGTAGCAATTTGTGGAATAAATATTTTTTTTAAAAGGAGAAAGTTGATATTTGTTTTTCACATCTCAAATTAATTTTAAATATTAATTTTTATACAAACTAGCTATAAAATTTGTTTGCATTAAATATTGGCTATGTTGGATCGTCAAATTTAGTTTTAATGTCCGAAAAAATGTGATAGCTTCAAAATTACTATACTGATCCACACGAAAATTTTCAAGGATTTAGGTCGCTATATACTAGATTGCTTAAACCCGAAGTCCGTTAAAGAAATTAGATCAAAGTTATACAGTAAAAACGTTCAATAAGGTTTTCTTTATTTCTACCTTATAATATAATAAAATTTGAAAATATTTTATATTGGTTGGAAAAGCTGTGATCCAGCTTTCCAACGTTATTCAGTTTTTGAAATAACGTTGAATTTAGAGAACATTCCGGGGACTTATGAATGCCTTGATAGGTGGTCGAAAAAATATTCTCCATAAAATCAAGTATAATACTAAAGTTTGTGTTTCTTTATTTCTTTAAAAATTCATGTTAAAGAGTTTTAAATGGAACTAAAAATAATCTAACTTCCTTTTTCATAATAAAAATTTACTTGGCCCAATTTCCAAGAAGTTTCTTTTGGTTCTTATTGTTTATGATTCATTATAACTTATTTAATCATCTATGTAAAATAATCTGGAAATCTCTGTAAAAAAAGAGGGAAAAGAAAAAACCTAAATTTATTTTAATAAGGTCTGAAACCCAGGTCATAAGGAATGAAACCCACGTTTCTAATATGTTTCGATGTAGAATCACAAAAAAAAAAAAAAAAAATTAAATTGGTTACCCACTTATTATTAACTCCCATTTTAAGTTTAAAATAAAATATAAATTCATTTGATATTGAATTTAACATTAACTGTAGAAATAAAAAGCAGCCCACGAATGCATTAAATACAGATCAAAATGCTTGATTTAGGGAGCGTGTGTACTTAATTTAGTCGTCTCAAAGCTTGTTGAGCCATATCAGCTCATAATGATTTCCTTAGTCGATTACTCCTCAAGTGTTTATGACATTATACAATTACATGTTTTTTATTGCAATTCGTCTTTTTTTTTTATTATTATACAATTGATCTTTAATTGTTGCATTTTTATCTATTCGTTTTTAGCACAATGGGATGAATTCTTATCTCTAAATTCTCGATTAGTTTTGATCTATGTTCTTAACTTTTCCGATTAGTACCCGATGATGTTATTGATAAGTTATAAATTTAAAAGATACAGGATTTAATCTACGATTAAGGTTGCAAGTATGTCGAGAAGGTTACTGTCCTGTAGGGTAGCCGAATTTCTTAGTTTGGGTCGACCAGGATATGGAAATCAACTTTCCCAATCCAGGTTCGAATCTTCTCCTGGATGATGCCGGACCGAAAGTACCCAAAGATGTTGAGGAGAGAACGGGAGCTATATGTCTTGCTGTTCCTCATAGATACATTCTTCGCCTTTGATGGTGTATTGTGGGCAAAAGTGTTTTAGCAGATGTAGAAGTATGATCTTCGCAGTAACTTATATAGTTTGAAGAATAGATGAAGCTTAATTTAAAATGGGATACTTTTAAGGGTCCGTCTTGGCCCAGCTACAAGCTGATTTTCGATTGATTGCTGAGAGAGCAAGAAGAGTGGTTTTACCACTACGTAGTCGACCTTGCTGTTGTGGGGACTTCCAGCAGCAGAGTTAGGATAAAAAGAGAAGCCAGCCGTTGATGACTACGAGGAAAGGCTATACCCAGAGGAAGTGAGATGCTTTCTCACGGTGCAATCTAAAGGCAAGGTGGTTTCTCTTGGATTATTTGGCATCAAAATATCTCACAAAGATGTGGGTATCGAGCATTCATTGTATTATGAAGGATGTACATTCTCTTTGTTCAGCGTACGCTGTTCCGAGAACTATAGAACACATTTTCAGGCATAAGTGTTCAGAAAGAGGATTTCATGACTTGAGTTGCGCCATCAAAGTTTTCGAGTCGGCACATTTTGGCAAGGTTTATATTTTTGGAGTGAAAAGTTTCAAACTAGAGAAAAAGAGGAAAAACGTGGACATAATAAGTGTAATTGTATATGATCTAAGATTCTTCTAATACTATTTTCATTTTCACTGTTTTTGTAAAAATGAGAGCAATAAAATTTCATAATGAGGGAGTTCATATGCATCATCATTAGTGTAGTCCAAAATTGGTCTCGGTCTTGGTCTTGCACTTTTGACCAAGACCAAGACCACACAATTTTTTGCAAGACCAAGACGAAGACTAGATCCTGCAAGTCTTACGCAAGAAAAAGACCAGACCCTGTAAGTCTTGCAGGTCTTGCAGTTTAGTCAAATTGAGACTATTTTCAGATCTAGTATGGTTCATAAACATTTTAATCATCTATTCTAAACAGCGTTGGTTTTTCTTGTGGAATTGTATATTTGAATATAACTTTCCAAATAATAATACAAAATTAATCTTTGTTTTTGTTCTCCCCTACCTCGCCATCCAACTTTGGTTATCAGGCTGCCTGGGAACACGCAGTGCTATGCACACTCGTTAGTCCGCTCGGCATAAAATTAAAACTATTTTTATGAGAAATTTAATAATATATTTTGCATAGTAATATTGCACATAACAAAGGCAAACTTGTTTGTTTTAGTAATTTGTAATTTTTGAGTGATCTAGCATAAATATTTTGTTTTCCAATTTGTTATAGATAGATAAAATCATTACAATTCTTTCACTATCTTAGTTTAAAATGAACATTGTTTTCAGCCAACTAATTTGTGAGAGAACTTCTTAAATATTCATTGAGAAATTCTTTAATATTCCCTCAGAGATCTCGAAAATGTATTGTCAGCTCAAAGGTCCAGCGCAGGTATAATTGTTCGAAATGATTGTGCGAACGCAGGAGGGTTAAGATACAAGCCTGGCGAAACCATCTATATGTTACTGCAACAACGCCATTACTTGAAAGAAATTATTTTTTTTGCATTATCATTTCCGGGTTTTATCCGCTGTTCACATCATTCGTTATTTCTTTAAAATTTCTAACCACCAAGCTTGAATTGAGTGTCTAAATTGCGAATACTGCGCTTTCTGGAACACTCATTAATAACATAACTTTTTATTTGAAATTTAACCGGAAGCATGTTGACATATTACAATCAAATCGGTGTAAATAGTAACAAAGGGTTAAGACTATAAATTCTATTTCAAAACCAGATTCCCTGTATTCATAATGGAACTAAGCGACAATATAATGGATTCTCTGGACAATATAGTTCTCAGAATATGAGCTTCATAATTTCCTTGCTTGTAGTGGTTCCTAACAACTGGATTTTTTTGGTCATAATTCTATAACTCCATTATTTTTCATCAGATTTCCTTGTTTCGTCGTTTTATAGCAACACTACTATATATACCCTATTATGTGAGCAATGGATATATTATCAGAAATAATATATGAAAATATTGAGGTGATTTGACCAAGATCAGAGTCAACCGCCAAGTTTTCTCTCTTAAATAATCATTTAATTAGGAGTACCCACTTTAAAGAACACTTCCTATTCCTTAAAATGGATAGATTGATTTCCCTAGTTTTTTTTTTAAATTATTTATCTTAAACAGGGGTGCCCATTCTCCCAAGGTCCATGTTATCCTCTCCCAAGCCTAAGATATTTTATTGCTCTTATCTTCTTAAAAACAATTCAAGCGAAAGTAGAATTTAAAAAATCGTAGATCATATACAATTAAAGTTGCTGTGGTCTGTTCCATAATTACAACTCCTTGTCCCCTAAATAGAAAATTTTCAACCCGAAAATCCGCAACCCTTAAATATTAAAATCCGGTCAAAATGATCTCTCCTCAGAGATTTTTAAGACGCAATTAGCGGCATAAAACCACTTCTTGGCACACCTGATGTTAAAACATAATATACCTAATTAATATCCGACAAACAATTTAACCAAGTGATATTCACGAAAGTGATTTCTGTTATATAAATTATTGAATAATATAATAAAGCAATTTAAAACTCTTTTAAAGTCAACTACACATCAGACTAATCAAGCGAGCAGGTGTGCTGAAGTGAACTAGAGGTTCTTGAGGAGTACTTATACCTTAAGTAATAACTAATAATTTTCATAAATCCTCAGTATATAGTGGGGTTGTTATTGAATTTAATGATCTTATGACGATTTAAGAAAACCTTGATAATGATAAAGCGATTTTCCACGTGCCAAATGCTGTAGTATTAACGAACGTCTGTCTTGCTAAAAAAAAGAAGTAGTTAAGAAAGACGATTTTAAAAGAAGGTACGGCGAGGGTACTTTGTGGCAACAAGAAATAAAGTGAACCAATTGATGTTTTAATGGAAGATTTAAAATATAAAAAATGCGATTGGTGTTAATAATTTGGGATCTGTATTAAGGATTAAGGGGTAGAAAGTGCCTCTACAAAAAATAAATAAAATAGTTCAGTATAGAATTTATTTATTTATTTTGTTGAGTCTATCCTGCAGGATCATTGTCATCGATTTTAACATCAACTCTGTTATAAATTTTCACTATATTCAAAGAGTTGGAATGTTTTTGGCGCTATTAGGCTGTTTATTTTTATTTACTTTTAGTTTCGACATTTTGACCGACATTTCGATTTTGAATGTTGGGCGGTCTTGTAAAACATATTGAACTGTTTGGATTTTAAAACTTTCACTTGTTGGAGTTTCAGATACCCTTAGTAAATAGACATGTTAAAGCTCTCAATGCCCAATCCTTAGTCCACACAGCATACTTTCTTCTTTCCTGGAGGATCGGTGAGAAGTTTCCAAATTGAAACAGCGGCTTTTTATTATATTACTTTAATGTGGAAATTATAACAGTAAATGTTTAGTTTGATATCCCGCTTGTTTAGAAAAGATAGCTTAGATTTTTAGATTCCAATGTTTTTCATTTCATAGAAATCTGTAGAATTATGTTGTGAATATATTACGATGCTATTTCGGAAAACGTACTTCTGTAAACTACACTAAGTCTTAAATGAATTATTCATTTAGAATAAGTAAAACACTTTACCATCAGGAAATTTACGGCGGTTCGGGTTGATGGAGATGAACTGTGCATCACATTGTCTTGGATGGATGGAGGAAAAACGGCCCGGGAACTGAGCATTATATATTTTAAAGTATTTGTTAATAAAAAAGAACAGGAATTATTTTTTTAAAATGCATAAATTAATTTACTTGGCACATTTATAGTATTTCAAACATAGCATTTAGAGTCAGGTGGATGAAATTCAATGTCTGAGAGCGGCAAAAACTCCTATTTTTAAAGTCTTATGATAATTCAAATTTCTATGTTTTTGATGTGTAACGTAGTGAACTTATATATTCCTAAAATTTAGGCACGAATAAAAATATCAGTTTCCATGATTTTCAATGAAATACAAATAAAAAACCAGTTTCTAACCACATTAATTATGCAACTTGTTATAAATCATTAAATATATTTTAGGCGTTTAGCTGAATTCTCAAAATAATTTTTTGTTGTGTAATTTGTTGCAATGAGGCAAATAAGATATTAAATAAGTTTAATATTAAAAATTAATAAATTAAAAAAAAAATCGTATATTCATAGCATAGGTTATCACTCAACGGAGCCTGGAATTTCGTATTTCCGTAGGAAAGTCCCTTGCGCCAACAATAACCAAGAACTTACTGTAATTAAAATGTTCTTTAAACATTGTTGATGAATACAAAATCAGTTGCGGTATCGGTAATTATCTGGCAAATTTAGTCAAGGAAGGTATACCAAAACAGACAAGAAAAAAAACCTACCTTTATCTAAATAAGTTTATACCTAATAAAATGTATTCCTTTCCGTTATAGAAAATGCGAAGGAAAAGATTGAAGAGAAATTCATACCATTTTGTAACTCAAAATCGATACTGGGATATTGTTTTCAGCTTTCTATTGTGTATTTCGTTTTATCTTCATTTTAGTTTTAGGTTGATTTGCTCTGCTTTTCTTATCACTATGTTTATCTATGTCCTTTCTTGATAGTAATATAGGTAATAGGTATTCATATTTGATTCAGTCAATAATCTTACACAAGAAATTTTCACTTTTTATTTATTTGTGAAAAAAATTAGCAACAATAATAACGTTTTACCAAAACGGTTATAGTCTATATTTATTTAGAATTCCGTTTCTCAAAAAGCTTGGCTAAATTAAATGTTTTAGAGAGTTTTTATCGTCTTTATGGCTTTTCCGACCGCTGTTCGCCGAGGAATAAAACTATTGGCCTTAGCGTTACATTTTCCTGGGATCAATCAAATAAAAAATTAACCATTGAAACCTTATCTCATTCTTTATAATGTATGTATTTATGTATACGATAAAATAATATTTAAAAGAAATTATATAATGAATGTAACATTGTTTTTATAGAAGGTAAAAATAAAACTTGATTGGTCCCGGCTGCTCCCTATCTCGTCGGTAATGAATGTAGGTATCAACTAGACATAAGAAACAAGATCACATTTATGCGGAACAAAAAGAGCACATCCCACATCAACAGCTAGAAAATATGCTTCAACTAAAGGCAGAACTAATGCATATCTAAACATATCTTGTACTCTTAACTATTTGTTTAGATGTCTTGGAGTGGTATTTTATCTCTAAAGTTTCGTGTTTGGAATATTGCAAATAT